AGGTACCCCCTGTACTACTACACCTGCCCAGTCGGTTTTTCTTGCCTAAATGTAGTTTTGGTAAAGGCTCATGCTCAATTAGACTTTCCTAAATGTTAACGGCTAATCAGCGGGGGACACACACTGCTGCGCGCGCCCCACGGGTGCCCCGTGGCCGCCCCGGCGTTGGGCTGAGCCGCCAAACAGACAGGAGCCCAAAATCCAGAAAAAGCTACTTTATTTTTATTCACTGTGCGTGCAGGAGGAGAATGCTTGCGTGAGAAGCGGTGGGTAACTTCGGAGTATCGTAGTTCGGGAGTCGCGGCTGGGAAGCCCTTCAGCTGCTCTTTGGTCCCGGGGAAGCACCAAAGGCCGGTGTTGGGCTTGGGGGGCTTCCCTCCGTGCCCCTCAGGCAGGGCTCTGCTCTTTGCCCAGATCGTCGGGCACAGAAGAGACGTCTGGGTCCTCCAGGGCCACGTAGTCCCGCCAGCCTCCCTGCGAGACAAAAAGGATTGCAGCGGCTTCCCCAGGATTGGCCAGTGGCCAGCAAGACACACACCCCCCGCCATTCACTCCAGAGCAGGGGTCCCCAACCTAGGGCCGCGACCCACTAGTTTGCAACCGGGCCGCAGAAACAGCCGACGAGCACACGGGCGCGAGCAGCAGGCGAGGACATGAGCACGCTCCACTGAGCGTGCAAACGGAGGCCCTGCTGCCCGCGCGCGCTTGCCGGCCGTTGGTGTGGAACCATCCCTTCTCCCACCCACCGGTCTGCCAAGCCAGAAACGTCGGAGAGCTCGGCTCCAGAGGGAACGTGGCCCCAGGGGAGATCTTCCCGACATCTTGGGAAGCCGAGCGAGGAAGCGCGACTCTTTTGGCAGTACCCAGAGCAACAACAGCCAGGGACTCCCGGGGGGCGTGTGTGGCTGCCCTCCAGAGTGCCCGACCCGGCCGTGCCCACTGGGACCACGAACTCTGCGCCCTTCCCTCCACGTACCCAGCAGGAGCAGCACAGGCGGCGCAGGCCGTATCTGAAGCAGAAGAGGGCGGTGGCCAGAGCGGCGACATGCACGATCAGCAGGAGGATCTGGGTGCTGCTCCACATGCGCTGGGGAAAGAGGGGGGCTCGAATCAGCAGGAGAGGGGGGCAGGCGGACAAGGCAGTCGCTCGGTTCACCAAAGCCCACCGGCACTGGCTCCCGTGCTTTGTCCACACCGGCCGGGACTCAGCGGGGAGACAGGAGGAGGGCGTGGGAGGGGGAACGCCCATCTGTGAGGACCAGTGGGTACCTTCTCCCAGGGGCTGAACACCTGAAGCCGCCTGAGCACAAGTGAGCCCTTCTTGCCCTTCAGCCCGACGTTCAGGACAGACAGACAGACCGAGGGAGGCTCGTACTTCAAAGGTCCCATCCTGGGATTGCCGTCTTCTAAGAGGTGCCGCTGCCCGCCTCCCTCTCTGGCGAACACTCACCACGAGCCCCATGAGAGTCTCCTGGCACTGCTTGGCCCGCTCTTGGTCCCTCTTGTCGTCATACGGAGGTCTGGTGGTCGCTTCCCACGAGCGGTAACCCTGGTGCTCCGCTCTGTGCTTGCAGAGCTTATCAAGAAAGTAGGGTTCGTAGAACAGGGGTGCGAAATCCGTCAAGCCCAGCGTGAAGGCCACCGAGCCTGCCACGACGCTGCCCAGGTTGAGGAAGGTGGCCAGGTGGACCTAGGAGGCGAGGCGGGTCACGGATGAGAACAGGCACCGGGGGCCTTGCGACAGGTCGGGGACCGGGACCTTCCCCACTTACCCAGTATCCGCTGCGTCGTGCGCCCACCACCGAGAAGGTGCCGGAGAGGATGAACTGCAGAAAGAGCGGGAAGCAGATCGGTGAGGGGTGTCTGTCTGAGCCTCCCGCCCACCCACCTGTCAACAGTCCAGTTGGCATGTCCAGAAAAAGAGACTCCTGGGACATCACATTTTACTGAAAATCGCCCCCACCCCATCGAGTCTTCCCATTGTCCAATAGCAATATGGCTTTTTGTGATGGATACACAGTCCACTTCTCCTTTCAGCCCCTGCGTTAGCGGCCTTGGCTCTCGGTTGCCTAGGTCAGGGGTCCCCAACCCGGGGGCCCTGGCCCACTCCCGGGCTGTCCGGGCCACGGAATGGGCCAGCCGCTGCACGCACGTGTGCGTGCACTCACCCCCAAGGTAAAAACGGGGCGCCAAGCTGGGCGAAAACGGGGTGCCGTGTGAAAACGGGGCACCACACAAGGCAAAAACGGGGGGCCTAGCGAGCGTCACGCGGGTGCTAAGCGCCGCCCCGTTTGTGTCCCACGCGACACAGCGAACGCTCCACCCAGCAAGCCCAGAACCTTCCCTGCCCACTTTTGTGCACTGGACTGACTCCCGGGGACGTCGGCGAGGCAGCAGTCCAGCCCCCTCAAACGGACCGGGCCCTGCCATCTTTGTCCCGTCCCAGAATCCTCCCCTGCCGCTTCTCGAGGGGGAGGGGGTTGCCAGCTGAGACCAAGGGGGGGACCCTCCCCCATTCCTCCCTCCCCCCCCAGTACTCACCAGGCCGCCCATCCAGAAAGGGACTCCGTTATAGATTGACCGCTTGAAGTAGTTGGATAGCTCACCGTTGGGCAGAACTACGCTCAGCACCACGCCGAGGCCGATGCAGACAGCGCCGAGCAGGATCTGGGCTCCCTAGGGGGGGGGACAGTGGGGGGAGACCCCAAGCAGCGTCAGCGGGCAAAGGGGGCGGGGTCACGGATGTCCGGCAGACTCTCCCCAATCGAGGTTAGCTGGAGACCCCGGTGGGGGGTCGTAGTTCCCTTTGTGGCCGGAGTGGAGAGAGAGGAGCAGCCCCTCGGCTCCTTCCTGACTCAAGTCAGGGTTGAGAATAGAATAGAGGGGACCTCGGAGGTCATCTAGTCCAGCCCCCCTCCTGCCGCCCAACCAGGAGAACCTACTACACTGTTTTATAACTAGTATGTCAAAAGTAAAAAAAAAAAAAAAGGTTGAGATTTGATGTTACTATGTTTATTTTAATAGAGACGGAAGTCTTTCTTTCTTTCTCTTCTTTTTCTTTCTTTCCTTCCTTCTTTCCATCCTTCCTTCCTTCTTTCTTTTCTTTCTTCCTTCTTTCTTTCTTTCCTTCCTTCTTTCTTTCCCTTTCTTTTTTCTTTCCTTCCATCCTTCTTTCTCTTTTCTTTCTTCCTTCATTTTTATTTCTCTTCCTTCATTCTTTTCTTTCCTTTATTTTTCTTTCCTTCCTTCCATCCTTCTTTCTTTTCTTCCTTCCTTCTTTCTTTCCTTTCTTCCTTTCTTTCCTTTCTTCTTTCCTTCTTTCCTTCCATCCTTCTTTCCCTTTTCTTTCTTCCTTCATTTTTATTTCTATTCCATTCTTTCCCTTCCTTTCTTTTCTTTCTTTCTTTCCCTTCTTTTTCTTTCTTTCTTTCCTTCCTTCCTTCCATCCTTCCTTCTTTCTTTTCTTCCTTCCTTTCTTCCTTCTTTCCTTCCTTTCTTCTTTCTTTCCTTCTTTCTTTCTCTTTCCTTCCTTCCTTTCTTTCCTTCCTTCTTTCTTTCCCTTTCTTTCTTTATTTCCTTCCATCCTTCTTTCTTTTCTTTCTTCCTTCATTTTTATTTCTATTCCTTCATTCTTTTCCTTCCTTCTTTCTTTTCTTTTTCTTTCTTTCCCTTTTTGTTTCCTTCCATCCTTCCTTCTCTTTTCTTCCTTCCTTCTTTCTTTCTTTCCTTTCTTCTTTCTTTCCCTTTTTTCCTTTCTTTCTCTTTCTTTCCTTCCTTTCTTTTCTTCCTTCTTCCTTTCCCTTTCTTTCCTTCCTTCCTTCTCTTTCCTTTCTTCTTTCTTTCCCTTTTTTCTTTCTTTCTCTTTTCCTTCCTTTTTTCTTTCTTTCCCTTCCTTTTTTCCTTTCTTTCTCTTTCCTTCCTTCCTTCTTTCCTTTCTTCCCTTTGTTCCTTCTTTCCTTCCTTCTTTCTTTTCCTTTCTTTCTTTCCTTCCATCCTTCTTTCTCTTTTCTTTCTTCCTTCATTTTTATTTCTATTCCTTAATTCTTTCCCTTCCTTCCTTCTTTTCTTTTTCTTTCTTTCCCTCCTTTTTCTTTCCTTCCATCCTTCCTTCTCTTTTCTTCCTTCCTTCCTTCTTTCTTTCCTTTCTTCTTTCTTTCTCTTTTTTCCTTTCTTTCTCTTTCCTTCCTTCCTTCTTTCCTTTCTTTCTTTCCTTTCCTACTTTTCTTCTTTCTTTCCCTTTCTTTCATTTTTTCTTTTTCTTTCCTTCCATCCTTTCTCTTTTCTTCCTCCCTTCATTCTTTCTTTCTATTCCTTCATTCTTTCCCTTCCTTTTCTTTTCCTTTTCTTTCTTTTTTCCTCTATCTTTCTCTTTCCTTTGTTTCCTTCCTTCCTTCTTTCCCTCCCTCCTCTTTCTTTCTTTCCTTCCTTTCTTTCTCTTTCCCTCCTTTCTTTTTCTTTTCTTTCTTTCTCTTCCTTCCTTCCTTTCTTTCCCTTCTTTTTCTTTCTTTCCTTCTTTCGTTCCTTTCTTCTTTCTTTTTCTTTTTTTCTCTTTCCTTCCTTTCTTTCACTTTTCTTTTTTCTTTCTCTCCGCTTTTTCTTTCTTTTTTTCCCTTCCTTCTTTCCTTTCCTTTCCTTTCTTTTCCATTCCTTCTTTTTCTTTCTTTCCCTACCTTCCTTATTTCTTTACTTCCTTCCTTTCCATTCCTTTCTTTCCTTCCTTCTTTTCCTTCCTTCCTTTCTTTTCTTTTTTTCTTTCTTTCTCTTTCTCTTTCTTGCCTGTTTTTCTTTCCTTCGTGCCTTCCTTCCTTTTCTTTCTCTTTCCTTTTTTCTTTCCTTTTCTGCTCTTTCCTTCTTTCTTTCTTTCCTTTCTTTCTCTCCTTTCTTTCTTTCTTTCTCTTTTCTCCTTCCTTCCTTTCCTCCTTTGTTTCTTTTCTTCCTTCTTTCCCTTCTTTCTTTTTCTTTCCTTTTCTTCCTTCCTTTCTTTTTCTTTCTTTTTTTCTTTCTTTCTTTCCTTCCTTCCTTTCTTTTTCTTTCTCTTTCTTTCCTTCCTTCCTTTCTTCTTTTCTTTTCTTCTCTTTCTTTCTTTCCTTCTTTCCTTTCTTTCCTTTCTTTTCCTTCCTTTCTTTTCTTTTTTCTCTTTCTTTCTTTCTTTCTTTCTTTTTCTTTCTCTTTCTTTCCTGTTTTTCTTTCCTTCCTTCCTTCCTTCCTTCCTTCCTTTTCTTTCTCCGTCCTTTTTTCTTTCCTTCCTTTTCTGCTCTTTCCTTCTTTCCTTTCTTTCTCTCCTTTCTTTCTTTCTTTCTCTTTTCTCCTTCCTTCCTTTCCTCCTTTGTTTCTTTTCTTCCTTCTTTCCCTTCTTTCTTTCTTTCCTTTTTCTTTCCTTCCTTCCTTCCTTCTTTCCCTTCTTTCTTTTTCTTTCCTTCCTTCCTTCTATTTTTCCTTCCTTTCTTTCTCTTTCTTCCTTCTTTCTTTCCCTTCTTTCTTTCTCTCCTTCCTTCCTTCCTTCCTTTTTCCCTTCTCTTCTACACTCCTCCCTTGCCTCGCTTCCCCCATCATTTGTTTTTCTGGAGTTTCGACCCTCCAACTCATCAAGCCCGCCTGGCGCTCTCCTCCCTCTGGGGTCACCCCCTCCCAATCCCCCCTCCCCCCAGGCCTGCAGCCCCCTCCCTGGGCCTTACCCCCAAGACCTTCTGCTCCCCCCCAGCCGGGCGGGGGGCGCGGGGAGCCTCGCCAGCATCCTTGGCATCCTTGGCATCCTTGGGGGCCGCTTTGGGCCGAGCCAGGGCCACCACCCCCCTGCACAGGTAGGCCAGGCCGGACTCCTGGTGGAGGGAGATGTTGATGGTGGTCGGTTGGGGACCCTCCAGGGCCACCTGGCTCCCCTCCACCTTCCCCACGGTGCCCGCCATGGCTCCTCCGAGGCTGCT